GTTCAGTGAACATGATCGCGATGATTTCTGGAGAATAAAACAATCTGGAAAAACATCGTGTTGGTCATGAATTTTCTAACAATCTTAGAAGCCGAATTAAAACACAAACAAACTAAACAAGACAGATGCTTACACAGCGGATAGCTGTATTTGGGAACCATATTTATACCTTCTGCATGTCAGAACTGTAATTCTTGTGCAAATGTATCCTCACCCCCCCCCCCCCCCCCCCTGCAATAATGCCTCTTGGCGCTGCGGGGTAACATGTAATAAATAAATAAATAAATAAAAGGACAGCCAAGTTTGGTGTGACACGTTGCGCCATTCAGCTCAAAATATTTGCAACACTGGGAAGGCCCTCTCGCGAGCCTGCTTTCTCGTAGGGCTGTTCGAGCTTGGAATGGACCTTTTTCCAGTAAGGAGTGCCCCATGACGGTTTCGCCGCCTACTACAAATGGAGGGCAACCGGACTCGCCTTCTCCCATAGGAACAGATTAGTGTTGCAAGAAAACAGTGCCCCCCAAAAATGGCGAAAGGGCGGTCAAGGTCAAGTGGAAAGGGTGTGCGCTAGGCACCCGGATAGCGCTCCGTAATCCGCCACAAGACCTTAAACTATGCAGACAAGGCTGAGGGCGCGCATACGCAGCTACGGCGTTTTCTTCGGTTATAGCGTAGCGGAGGGACAAAACGGCAACTGTAGTAGACAGGTTTGCTCCTCCATGTTGCGTACCGGACCGTCGCAACACCGGAAGCTTAGCAGGCAGGGAATTGGTGGCCTAGTGGGCTAGCGCACACTAGCTCGCGGAGCACGTGGAGCGAAAGCTCACGCTGCAGAACCCAGGATCCTGGGTTCTGCGTGATGCACGTTAAAGACCCCAGGCTAGGGATTGTACTGCACTGGCTAAATGTCTCATTTACAGCTGGGAGACTCGTTGCCCGTTGAGGCAGACCAAGTTCTAGGCTGTATGAACATACACACAACCCAATTTTTAAAGCTTAGCAGGCGTGAAGCTCCGCAGGTTTCCGTCGAGGCCGTGGAAAACACAACGCCGTCGGAGATGAATAAATGCCGTAAAACGTGTAAAATAAGCATTCTGTTCGAGAGGAATTTCTACATGCCCTATTTGACTCGATATGTGGAATTAATGCGCTCGAAGCCCGGCGTTGTCCTTGAACTCGATGCGAAGTCAGATCAGTCTTTTGAAACTCTCACTGCTCTCTGCTCCGCGAACACATCTTGATCGAAGTACGTTTTGTGGACGCTTGAGCGTAGTTACTGAAAACCTAAGTGAGCATTTTCTTCGCTTTGCCGATTGCAGAACGGTCTTTCGTTTGCGCCTTTAGCATGATCGCGTAGCTGCCCAAGTTGGTTGCTCTATTTCGACCCATGTCTACACGGTTCCAACTTCATTCCCGGTGCGATAAAACAGTCTACCCAAGAAAAAATTTAAAGAAAAAGTACTTACCCTACGAGGAAAGGTTATCCATGCGGCGTTTATATCTTGTCTTTGTAAAAGTGAACAGCATATTAAATCGACGAGAACGAGCATCAGCTTCCAACGAGCAACTGCGGATGACACCGGCCAAACTACAGCCAGCTTGCACGAAAAACTTATTTCTCAGACACCATAATCGTCTTCAACTCGGCGACGAGGAAACTGGAAAGAAACTGATCACCAAAATGATATCGGCTATCAAGTATCAAGCAAAAAGAAATCACTTAAAAAAAAAAATAAAGGGTGGGTGATGGTAAGATGGAGAGGGGAGGCTTTTTCAGTTCCGCTTTTGCAGAGGAGGGATTTTGTTATCTCGAAGCGCGCGCAAACAATGTAAAAAAAAAAAAAAAAAAGAAGGAATGACAATTTTTTTTGGCAACTCATCTTTGTTACGTCACGGCGCGGTGGTGGCGCGTCGGGCGCGGTTTCGGTCTGGGGCTGTGGGCGGAAGCCCCCATGTGAGACGTGTATTCTTGCGTCATTTTGAAAGGAACCTGACAAAAACCTGCCTTCCCGTCAAAATGCTGCGACTGGGGCTTGTTACGTTTCTCCGGGAGAATCGACGAATCCGGAGACCGACGTTTATTTGGCAGCGTTTATTGTTCGGCAGCCGGAACCAAAAGAGCACAAAGCTTGCCGGCGATGCCGCTTATATCGGCAGCAAGCACCAGAGGTACGCCCCCCTGACTCAGCAGTTCTGCTGCGGCCGCGACAGCGATAAGCGATAACATCGCATCGTAACAACTCCTCCCCCTTTTAGGGCGAAACCGCATAAAACAATTTTCCCGCCACTCTCCAGGTTTCAAGCACGTCCTTGGGAATGTTCGACAGACAAACGAACGGCGTAATCCTAGTGCTGCTTGCGCAGAACTTCACAGTCGTTGCTCGAAGAAACCTTCACAGCGTATACAGGTTCAGCTTGCGCTGATCCGAAGGGCGGGAAGTCCTGGAGACGCAGGGCCCAACACCGTCTGCGAAACTGGCCGGAAGCGTCGACGCGCGGCCCAACACCGTCACTGCAGTTTTTAGTGTCCTTGACTGGTCGGAAGCGTCGACTGTGCGGTCCGAGAGGAGCAGGAAGGAGCGGTGATGGCGATCCTTGCGACCATGAGCCAAAGTCGCCAGCGGCCCAGGAGTAGCAGCGGCTGTCACGTGCCGTCGGTGCCAGGACGTCGGGATGACAACAGAGGTCCGTCGTGCTTCTGAGGGGAATGAGAAGGGCCAACAACAACCAAGCACCACAGAAACTGCGGAGGCACCCGAAACGCCCTTTCCACTCACCGAGAGCACGAATTATTCAAAAGAAATAGGTTACAAAATATGCCCCAAACGCAGCCAGAATTTTTTGAAAATATCGTTCCCGATCTTTCGGGAATAGACAGCTAATGAATGAAATTGAATGGAACTATTTACAAATGTGCAGATGAGACAAAAGAAACAGAAAATCGCACTGTGCGCCGGTTAGAGCGCTCGGCTCAGACAATCTGCGTTCGCATGAAGCTTTCCTTTTTTATGTCGAACCAAGAAAGAATATTCCTGGAGGGTCAAGCTCCAGCGTAACAAGCGACCGTTTTTGGGGGACAGCTGCTGAAGCCATGTGAGCGGTCTATGATCTGTAATTAAAATAAACTCCGAACCATAGAGATAGCAGCGAAGCTTTTCTACAGCCCATACGAGACAAGCGCATTCTTTTTCGATGGTACTGTAGGCTTGCTCCCTTGACGTTAGCTTCCTGCTGGCAAACAAAACGGGGTGCTCTTCCCCTTCATTTTCTTGGCTTAGAACGACGCCGAGTCCTTTTTCGCTGGCGTCGCACTGCACTAAGAAGGGTCTTGTGTAGTCAGGGCTGACTAATACGGGCTGAGTCGCCAAGGCTAACTTAAGAGCCTCAAACGCCTCTATCTTGCGATCGTCCCATTTGATCTTAGTGGGCTCAGTTTTCTTGAGCGCATCCGTCAGGGGACTCGCCTTTTCAGAGAACTGGGGAATGTACTGGTGGTAGTAATTCACCAGTCCGATAAAGGACATCAAATCTTTTTTTGTTTGTGGCAAGGGAAACTCTTTAATGGCCTGAACCTTGAGTTCTTGTGGACGTCTCATTCCTTGACCGACTACGTGTCCGAGATACGATACTTCGCCTCGGCCAAACTTACACTTTTTCGCCTTGACTGTAAGTCCTGCGTCTTGCAGGCGCGAGAACACCTGTTCTAGGTGCTGAACGTGCTCTCTCCACGTGTCCGAAAATATAGCGACGTCGTCTAGGTACGGTAACGCAAAAGACTCGGTTCCGACCAGTACCAGATTCATCAGTCTCGAAAACGCATAGGGTGCGTTTTTCAGTCCAAAGCTCAGGACAAGCGGCTTAAAAACACCAAACGGGGTCATGAAGGCGGCAAGGTTACTGGCGTTCGCGGTAAGTGGCACTTGCCAGTAACCTCTAACGAGGTCGATGGTTGAGATGAACTTGGCTTTGCTTACTTTCTCAAGGCAAGTTTCGATATTAGGGATTGGGTAGACTTTTGTTACCGTTACCGCGTTTAACTTTCGGTAGTCCACACAGGGACGAGGTTCTTTTCCTGGAGTCTCTACCAGAATCATAGGAGACACGAAATCGCTCTCGCACCGCTCAATCAACCCTAGCTCTAGCATTTGATCTACGGACTCCTTTAATAGCTTTTCTTGGCGGGGGGAAAAGCGATAGGCCTTACACTGAATATTTGACCGAGTCCTCACTTCGATGTCATGTTCGACTAGACTCGTTCTTCCGGGAATAGTTGAAAACAATTTTTGGTATTTGCCAATTAATGCCGTAAGATCCGAAAACTGGTTTTGGGTGAGCGTCTTATCGACTGCGGCCTCTACGACTTCGGCGATTGTCAGGATCCCGTCGGTTTTTCCCAGCTCAGGAATTCGTGTAGGAACTTCCTCTGGTTGGTTTAGTGCAATGCTGACTACTTGCACCCTTTCCACGTACGGCTTCATAAGGTTGCAATGGTATATGCGGACCTCTTTTCTGCGACCTGGCAGTTTTACCACGTAATTTGTCTCTGATAGCCTCTGCTGGACCGTTGCTGGTCCTTCCCATTGCAATTCCAACTTATGAGCCTTAGAAGACCTCAAAAGTAGGACTTTGTCACCCACCTTAAACGTTCGGAGGCGGCTGTTTTTGTCATAGTAGGTTTTACCTCGCGACTGCGCTTTTCCCAGGTTAGCCTCAACTAGCTCACGCGTTTTGTGGAGACGGTTTAGTAAGGAAAGCACATACTCCACCACTGTTGGGTTCTCGGCTTCACCCTCCCAGCCCTCGCGCAGCAACCGCAAAGGTGAACGCAAATTGCGTCCATAGACCAGTTCCGCTGGCGTGAAACCAGTTGACTCGTGAGCAACGGTTCGCAACGCGAAAAGCATAGCGGGCAATGCCAAGTCCCACTCTTTTTTCTGTTCGTGACAAAGGGCCCTGAGAATGCGCTTCATTACCGAGTGCGCTCTCTCTACGCTGTTACTTTACGGGTGGCTTACAGAACTGTGAACAATCTTAATGCCACACCTCTCGAAAAAGCTGGTTGTTAGAGCACTGGTAAAAACACTACCCAGATCACATTGAATTTCACTAGGAAACCCGATCCGAGAAAAGATCGAGAGCAAGTTATCTACTACTTCGACCGATGTCTGCTCTTTCATTGGAACGGCTTCTGGGAACTTGCTGGCTGGGCATAATATCGTTAGAAGGTACCTAAAACCCGTCTTAGTTGTAGGTAGGGGTCCTACGACGTCTATCACAAGCCTTTTGAAAGGTTCCGTGATTATGGGCACTAGTGTCAGAGGCGCCTTTCGGCGCTCGTTTGGTCGTCCTGTTCTTTGGCAGGTGTCGCAAGAACGGACGAATTGCTCAGCCTCCTTAAAGCAGCCCGGCCAATAATATTCTGCCAAAAGCCTGCACTTGGTCTTTGTGATTCCTAGGTGTCCCGACCACCCTTCTCCGTGAGCAAGCTCGAGTAATGCAATTCTATACTTGGATGGAACGACAATCTGATCTACCTCGTTCCCCGATTTGTCCTTGAAACTACGGTAAAGAATGCCGTTGCTCATAAAGAAGGAGATGTTCGGCTTGATATCTTTTCCCACGCTATCACGACACTTTGAAAGACTCGGGTCGGATGACTGTTCGGCGATAAGCGTAAGCTTATCTACACCGGCTAGCGCACGAAAATTGCTGCTCTCCGGCGAAACCAGCGTGGTCATGTCAGCTCCTTCGTTCGGCTCTTTATCGGGCCCGCTGCTGGTTTTACCAGTCGACGCGCGCGCTTCCGTCTGAAGTGTTTCCGGCACTGCACTAGTTGTCATTGAGCGCGTGACGACTAGAACAGGATTCATGTCAAGCGGTATACCCGACTCGCTCAATTGCCTTGCAGTTCTGTTTGACAGTATGTACGGACAGTTTGGAAGCACTCCGTCAGAAACAGCTGCTTCCGTTTCCACTACTCCGAAAGGTCCGTTTAGTTTTACCTTAGCGACGGGCAGACTAACTGCCCGATTTTCCAAGGCCTGACGGATCCACACACAGTCGCCTGTAAAATGTTCTTGCTCCACTAGCGAAGAGTGTACCAGATCATACGTGGCGCCGGTATCTCGTAAACCTTTGCAGAATTTACCATTTACTTTCATGTCGTACAGATACGGCCTGAGTAAGTCCTCCGCTTCTCCCAGACACAAGTTAACGGGAGCAACTTTAGGGACGCGGCAACCAGAAGCGACATGACCAGGCTGTTTACACCTGTAGCACACTATTGGTTTACGCTCCTCGAACGCCTTCATTTTACGTTTGTTTTCGTCTGAATCAGACACTCCCTTTGTCGGTACTTCACTCTCTTTGCCCTTTTCGGCGCCTTTCTTCACGAACGTGCGAGGTCCGCATCGTTCGTAGAAACGGTTTGAGCTACGGTTTTCTTCAACAACTTTCTTCCCGTGCCTAGAGCAGTACTCATCCGCGTAATCTGCAGCTTTTTGCACCGTTTCTACTTCCGGTCTATCCTGAATCCACTCCTTTAGACCTGTCGGAATACAGGAGAGAAACTGCTCTAGTGCTATCTGCTCCAGCACCTTTTCACGATCCTCGTAAGAGTTGACACCACGGAGCCAACTTTCCAGAAAGCCTTTAAGCTTATAAGCGAACTCCGCGTAACTTTCGTCCGGTCCTTTCCTTGTCTCTCGAAATTTCTGTCGAAAAGCTTCAGGCGACAACCTGAACTTCCTAAGCAGGCATGACTTTACGGATGCGTAGTCATCGGCTGCTGTAGGATCTAGTCGGGCCAAAACGTCGGCCACCTCCACTGGCAGTAAACTCAAGAGCCTTTGAGGCCAGCTCGACTCTACAAGACCCATCTTAACGCAAACCCGTTCGAAATTTACTAAATAGAGACCCATGTCTCCGCCGACGCGAAAAGGTTGCAAAAGGGCTCGCATGTCAAACTTTTTCGAGCTGTTATCCACCACAATGGCCTCACCAGCGTCAAAGTTTCATAAGCGCCAACTACGGGGGGGCAGTGGGGCTCGTGCCCCCCCCGGACGGCTTCACGGGGGGGCAGAGCCCCCCCCGGCCCCGGCCCGGGATTTTTTTTAAAGAGCTTGGCTTGGGTCTGCGCCCATCGACAGTGGGCCGTCCTGACTGGCAGCTATTTCACAGGGGCCTGTTTATTCCCGCTTCTTATTTCCTTTCAGGCTTTTAAATGGTGGATCTCGGGACAGTGACAGGTCAGACATTCAGTAGAAAATTCCCCTCAGACGGAGTTAGATGCGCGGAATATGTTGTCTGAATGAACAGCTGAAGTGCCCGCTTCAGCTATGACAGGCTAAAAAAAGTCTTGAAAGCGTCGCGACATCTCTGTCGGTTTTTAGACAACAAAAATGCTTCTGAGAATAGGAAGCATCCCCGACACAGTGAGTCAGTGACTGATTCTGCAGACCTGCTCGCCAAGAAAAAAATTTTAATTTCTTGCGCGTCTACAAATGAATGCCCTTTCGGCCAAGAAAATATTGTACACATTTTTGATTGGTCAGTGAAGGGCTTTACTACCAGTCTTGTCACCGAACAGCGACTCGAATACTCGTCCAGAAAACAACTTTTGGCGGAAAAATTTGTAACCCCAGCTTCGCACAAGGTATAGTGGTATCAAATGGTCTTTGCTACCGTCTGAGAATTATTTTTGGCCCTCTTAAAATTGAAGTCAGTCGTATAATTAAAGCTTCTTGTGCCACCATTACCCCACTCTCCCCTGCTGCATGTGTTAACAAAATAAACAAAACATGACAATAAAATACACACCAGAAGCCAAATAACAGCATCGCAAAACACAACAAAAACAAAGGGACACTGCTTTGAAACAAAAGCCTGTGGGGAAGAGAGCGATTGGGCCTTCGGAGTCTCTACGAAGGCCAACTTTGGGGAAAGAATAATCATCATGCCCGATACGTGTTCCTTTTGTCATTTTTAAAACGTTTGTATGGACAGTGCGGCGCTAGGCGGCACAATCCGCTCCCCTTTCCGTTTTATTCTGAATAGGCTTCACGAAAATTCCCAGGGAAGGCATTCATACATATACGCCGCAAACAGTCAGTAGAATAGCAAGTGCTTGATCACTTCCTTTGAGGCAGGGTCACCGGAGCTTATTACCTGTGGAAACTATTTTATATTAACTCCCTGGGTTGAGGCTTATTTGACAAAGAGACGGAAGCAACTGAAGGATCGTGATTGGAGTCCCGGAATAACGAGCGGGCCCAAGCGAAGTTCAATTGAAACTTAAACCGTGAGCCGTAAAACTTAAACCGTAAAACACCACTGTGAAGTGTCAAATGCTGTGCTCGCGATCCAACTATTTGGACGCTGATCAAATTTAAATGTGAAGCATGCATATTTTTCTCGGGTCTTTTCCGTAGCATTATTTGACATATTATTTGGAAGAATTCTTATTTTAACTTGCGTGCTTCCGCGAAAGGCTGAAATTATCTGTCTCTTTTATGCACGTGTTCTCATTGCTACAATCTGTTCATTCTGTTTCTTTTTCTTACTTCCTGCTCTTGTGAGTGAGCACGTTAAGGAAATGTACAAAACAAAAACAGCAGTGTACGATGAAATGCGCGAGCAGATACGTCGTTAATGCTTGTATGTTTGCTCTATACTTTTTTTTTAATTGTAAGCGTTTTGTAACCGTTGCATTGAGAATTGCTCAACGTGTGCCTCGTGTGTCTGTTCATTATAAATGTACCACACGAAAAAAAAAATATTAAAATATTTTGGTTACAGCAGATTCATTTTCTCCTGTTCACCATTTTCAAAATTAACACTTTTGGTGCGCCTGCGTATCCACTCGGGGAGTTTGGTACTATATGGGCATCTCAAAATACACTTTACACACAAAATGGCCCGCAAAATTTAGATCCTTGGTGCAACAAGTGGGAATATTCCTGAAATACGTGTTTTACTGGTCACATTTATGCAACAAAATTTTAGACCCGAACTACCCCTGCAGAAAAAAAAAAAGATTCGCTTTTTTGTACTGGTAGTTTAGTCTTGCAATATGTTTGCATAAATGTGGCCAGTAAAACACGTATTCAGAGAAATTTCTACTGGATGCGTCAAACCGCTGAAGTTTCCGGGTCATTCTTTTGTGGAGCGTCTTATTTGGGGACACCAGGTAGTTAGCTGTCACAATGTCCGTGTCCGTTTGTTTATGTCCTTGTCCCTTTTTCTCCAGTCTCGGGTTTACCAAAATGCTCGGTAAGGCTCCGACTGCTGCAGGTGACCCTTATGGGGAGAACCCACGGAACAAATAAAACAAGGACCTTCTCCTCCTCTCCCCCCCCCCCCCTCCCCCGCGCAGCCTCCCCCCCCCCCCCTCCCCCCGCGCAGCCTCCCCCCCCCCCCCTCCCCCGCGCAGCCTCCCCCCCCCCCCCCTTTTTTTTTTTTGAGCCACATTCCGGGTCTGCCCCCCCCGGGAAAATGGAAACTCTACGCCGCTGACGTTGAAGCATTTCTAGCTCAAGTTTTTCTCGAGCAACGCGAAGCCCTTCTTGAGCCGCGTGAAGTTCCGCTTCCCTTTGTCTCTTCTGCACCTCGCTCCAACACTCGGAAATTTCGTCGGCGCCCGCGCCACAATCTTCAATGGCCTTGATAATCTCGGGCTTTCTCATGGCCTTGACCACTTTAACACCCAGCTCTTCCGCTAAGAGCATTAAATCGGGCTTCACAATCGCCGCGAGATTTATCGGATCCATGTTCAGAAATTTCCAAAAAAGTTTGGCTACTTTTGCCCAGCGCCCGTATCAACCGTTTGGCGACACCACAGAACTAACTGCCTTAAACACTTAAGCTGCTCGGTGAACGGAAAGGAAGCCTCAGGCACTCACCGACAGCACCCATGGAACCCGGCGTCGTCGATCCATCCCACCGCTGCCACCAGCTGTTACGTTTCTCCGGGAGAATCGACGAATCCGGAGACCGACGTTTATTTGGCAGCGTTTATTGTTCGGCAGCCGGAACCAAAAGAGCACAAAGGGGGGGGGGGGGGGGGGGGGGGGGGGGTGTCGTGATGTGGGGAAGGCAGGGTTAGCTTTGCCAAAAGTGCAAGCGTTGTTCCGCCCTGGGATAGGAGGAGGGGAAAAGATGGGACTTAGGTGAGTAGGGGGGGGAGGGGGGGGGGAAAGAGCACAAAGCTTGCCGGCGATGCCGCTTATATCGGCAGCAAGCACCAGAGGTACGCCCCCCTGACTCAGCAGTTCTGCTGCGGCCGCGACAGCGATAAGCGATAACATCGCATCGTAACAGGCTATACTAAGAGAGTCGAGAAAGGTTTGAAGGTCAGTTTTATGTGCTCGCGGTACGTCCGAAAACGTGGATATGTGCCGTAAAATTGAAAACCAGACGCCGTCGGACCACGATTGCTTGGGCGGGAAGGACTTTGGGTAGGATTCACGGATACTTGTGGTCATTAGGTTTGTTTGTTTTGTTCCAACATGAACGCCGGAAAACTGTCAAGTTGTACGAACCACTCTCGGACTACGTTCAGTGCGTCTTCAAGTTCGAACGGCCGTCTGATGGCAACTTACTATACTTTTTCTGCTCTTTGATAGCGCTTCCAGCCAATAAAAGGCTCACAGTGACGACTGTCAAAGATTTCAGTCGCGCTGATGTTGACCGTGTTCTTGAATATATAGGTTCGGCGTTTGCTGACTTCCAAATAAATTATTGCGATGTATCGGGTTGAGAACCAATCCGTGGATTGATAGAAACATCATTCATCTCAAACGTAGACTAAAACGAATGAGAAAAAGAAAATATAATTCCGAAAGGGTACGTGAGTTACAGATTGAGTTAACCAGCAGAGTTACACAAGCTAGAGAATGTTACTCTGAACATGATTTGTCGGTTTTTTCTGAAGGATGACCCTGAAAGATTTGGAGATACATGGCCAACAACAATAATCCTGTTAAAATAATTGTGATCAATGACAGTACTGCTTCAGATAAAAAAGAAATTGCTCAGCATTTCAACTTTTATTTTCAGTCAGTTTTTGGAGAAAAAGACGATTATGAATGTCGCGGTTCCTCGTCACCCATCAATGCTGATTTTATTTCCTATCGAGGTGTTTTGTCAATGCTGTCAACTTTAAAAACGAAGTTGGCGCGTAGGCCCCAATAAGATTCCAAATATTTTTCTTCGACTGTACGCAGAGTCACTGGCACGTTTTTTGACAATAAAATTTCAAACTTCGTTTATTACCAGCTTGCTTCCGAGTGACTGGCTCCACGTGTCGTCCCTGTATTCAGGATAAGAGACCCCATTTTCACTAACAAATGTATCGTTCCTTTGGCTCATATGTACAGGCGGGGACAAAAGTCCCCAGGACGCGCGAGCTGCGACTGAAACGCATTGCTCTGCCATCTGCCGACGGGTCGCCTGATTTCGAGATCACACAAAAGCGCATGCGCGTCCTACTCTGACTGCAAGCATGTGTGTTTTGCCGTTTTTCTGCGGCGTGGCGTCTAACTAGGAATCGGGCGCGTGGTACCGCCCCGGAGATAGCGCTTGCAGAGCCGTATATGCGCTTGCGGCTGACGAGCGTCTGCTACACATTTCGAAACTGCAGATACCGCCCGCGGCATTGCGCCGCATTTCGCTGTGTCAGCGCATCTTGCTTTATGACCAGCTGAGATTATCGCTCAGTTGAGCAGCCGTGATTCCTTGCTTCATATACTTGGTTTCAGCTTTGGTCCGAGCGTGGCCGTTATTATGAGCGGAAGGTCCAGTCAAAGAGCGCAAAAAGCGCAACGTCATGGCGTTCTCCGCTCTTGATAGGACGAGCCGGCGGAGGAGCAGCATGCACTGA